ACACACACACACACACACACACACACACACACATACACACACATGTATAGATTAGTTTCAAATCAAACAAAGGTAATTATGTACTTTAGGGGACCCAGCTCCGATGAAATTTTCATATGTTGTCAAGGTCATGATTCTGAGCAACTTTGCTTTAACAACTAGATGGCGGACTCTTATAATTTTTAAGTTATTCAGACTCGATAGTCTGGATTATTGTATACTATCAATAGTTAATACTATGCGTATTCAATAGTCCAAACTATTCTTTTTAATAGTAGGTTTCGCCCTCCCTGCGGGAGCACACTAAACTACTGTTAAAAATAACCTAACCCAACCCATTTAGTGAGGTAGCTCTCGCTTCGTGTAGAAAGTCGAAATTCATGCACAACAGTACAGGCATGTAACTTTCTATGCGAACATACTTCTATGGTTATACTATTACGCATGAATTTCGACTTTCTACGGAAAGTGACAGCTATCATACACCATTAAATGGGTTGGGTTAGGTTATTTTTAACAGTAGTGGAGCCTCCCCGCAGGGGAGTGGAACCTATTGTATTCACACATACACTTTACAACATAAAACGACATGGAAGTTGCGAGCACATTCGCAGAAGAAGAAATGCAGTAAGAGTTGTTTCGCATGAATACAGTAGGTTTCACTACTGTTAGAATGACCAGTTTTTAGAGCGCCATCTATAAATTGACTAATATAAATCATTAGAAATGTTGAAGAACTGTTCAATAAATCATCAACAATGGATTAGAAATCTTAAAATACCCATATATCTTGTACAACTAATTTTTTTAGCGTTGGGTGAGTATGTACCCCGGTGTGGCCGCGATGTGGCCGGGCTGAGGTGTGGCCGCTAAGGGTTAAAATCTAATAGGTGTTCAAAATTTTTCAAAACGCTACGCTGTAATAAAATTCATTTGTATTAAGTATTACTTCAACGCTTAATATCTGAAAAACTATAACAGACCGCCACCTAGTTGTTAAGGCAAAGTTGCTCAGAATCATGATCTTGACAACATGTCAAAGTCAAGGTCATAGGAGCTGGGTCTCCTAAAGTACATATCCTTTTCATTACCTTATTATATATCAGCTTGATACAATTTATAACATATCGATCATTACCTTAAGAATAACTTCGTTTCCAGACCAGCAATAAATATAAATTTGTACAAACATGCCAATAGTGTATACTAAAAAAGTCGCAGTACCAGACAATTCTGTAATATGTATTGACAAGTAATACACACTTGTACATAATACCAGTATGCTTGCAAAGAATTGGACGAAAAGCACCTGGTTAAATATAACGTTTACCGTTTTGGCGTATCTGTAATTGTTTCACATTAGTCGTGCGTTGCTGTATGAGTATACCATATATTATAAGTGTATAAATAAGTTTCCGCCGTTTTTCATCAAAAATTGGGTATTTATTGTGAAAGAATGATACCTAATGTTTTATTCGAAATTGTCCAAGAAATTGTCTATCACAGCCACTGTTTTTTCCCATCTTTCTGGTAATTGGTGGATTCCACGTCGAAAAATCAAAAAACGTCGAAATTACATTCTTTGTCTTCGACGTCAAATTCACCGTTCTTAAATTTTTGAAACCATTCACGGCAACTTCTCTCACTTAAGGCAGCCTCACCATATGCTTCTAGCGATGCGCCTCAGTTACAGATTTCTTCAAATTAAAGAAGCTCCCGCAAATGACGCTTATTCTGCTAAAAAAAAAAAAAAACTCGACATTTTCACATGATATCTATATTAATCGAAAAAAGATATATGATGCTAATACAAAATCGCTAATATTTCAAGGTTATGTTGTTGCCAAATGTCCAACCTTACGATATGACGTTTTACAGCAGACAATTTTAACCATAACATACTGGTGGCGTCATCTTTTGTCAAACGGCGGAAACTTATTTATACTCCTAATATATATAAAGTATCAACAATATTAAAAATGGGCGAAGTAAGAGTCAAATTACAAATTAAAAATCTAAATTTTTTCTGATAATTTATTTTAATGTATTGCGAACAATATCACGTAATTTTAGCGTTTCGTCCCGACTTCCACTACTGGACTCATCAGTAAGGCATTGTAGTGGAAGCCAACCTTTACGCCTTGGTAAGTTATTAAATCGAGATTTTATATAAAGAGATATACGCGTGTCTTAGCACTTACGAGAATTTGCGAATATAGATAGACCTCTGATGGCGATTCGACGTAGTAAAATATTCTTCGTAATATTTATTTTATAAAGTAAGAAATAACGTCCTATTAATATACGTATATAGTCCCCCCAAATTGCGCGCCGAACAGATGTCGATCTTGCAACGCAACTCTAATAATCTGAAAAATCCCTCCCCAAATATCTCTTACTTTGGATAAATATTGCGAAGAATATTACTACGTCGACTCGCCATCAGAGGTCTATCGATATTCGCAAATTCTCGTAAGTGCTGAGACACGCGTATATCTCTTTATATAGATAATCTCGATTTAATAACTTACCAAGGCGTATAAGATAGGCTTCCATTACAATGCCTTACTGATAAGTCCAGTAGTGGAAGTCGAGATGAAACGCCAAAATTACGTGATATTTTTCGCAATACATTAAAATAAATTATCAGAGAAAATTTAGATTTTTAATTTGTAATTTGACTCTTACTTCGCCCCTTTTTAATGTTATTGATTATTATTATATAAGAATCCTTGAATTTTTCAATTTATATATAAAGTAGTTATATACAATATATAATGCTATTTTAATACGTAATTTTATAACATGATATCTATATTAATCGAAAAATTGTAAAAGATTTTAGGATATGTACCTTATTTACACACACACACACACACACACACACACACACACACGCACACAAAAGCTATAATACTTATACTTTATACAATTATAATTATTATTATTATTATTATTATTATTATTATTATTATTATTTTATACAATTTGACACGGAATTGCCTTATAATAAGATAACGTTAAAAGTACTTCATTTTCGAGGTCATATTAATTGTTTTTTAATGTTAGTTCTTTTCAACTAACGTTACATATTTATGTTTTTTTTTAATTTAAATGTATATTCGTCATAAATATCAATAATTACCGTTATATTAAACCATAACGATTTTTAGGTGTAGAAAATAAATAACGTTTATATGCATGCAATCATATACGCATATAAAAAAGCATTTGAACGGATGCATAAAAATGCTTACGTGACTTACTTATAAATGTTAAGATGATGGCGTATGCACTCTGAAATTCCTGTTTTGTTTTTATTAGGTGAAGGGAATATATGTTCCAGATATCTAATTGTTCTATTAGTTATTAATTTGTGAAGACGACTTTCAAAAATTTTGAGTTGGGCACATGTATGTAAAATCAATCCAAAGAGTAATGTATCCGTGCCAATATTTATCATAGCGGAAAAAATTACAGTTATGATTTGATGAACAGATATAATCCAAAACATCGTAGATACATTGTAATCATATGGCAACCATATTCGATAGGGCAGATGACCTTGCATAACATTTAATACTGATCCTATTGTAGTGCCTGTAACGGAGCTAGTTGCTAAAAGTGAATATTTTATCGAGCACGATCTGTAATATACAATATTATAAAAATAAGATCGTAAATTTTTTATATTTTGTACATTTACAACTTAGAATAATAATTTTGATAAATGTTTAGAAGTGCTACTCTCCCAAAAATTTCAGTTTTTTCAGTCAATAAACAAAACTAGTTTTAAAAAAACAGATATACAATGTTTTAAGAGGGTGCTTGTGATTTTTGTAAGAAAAAATTCTATTTTAAAGCAAATAAGAGAGTTTAATTTCTTATTTAAATATAATATAAAAAAACTTTTACCGGCTATACGCTTCAAACATTTGTACGTATATATGACCTTTAATTATAGGTCACTGTATTCGTCTTAAAACGCTGTATCAGAATGTAAATTAAAAAATATTTCATTTAAAAAAAAACAGATTCGATTTTTGCTTATCCTCTACGCCTCCACTTACAAAAAATTATTGACAATACATTATGTGCCTCTCGAAATCAAGCAACTTTTATTTGACACTTTTCCTTCTATTGTTAAAAACAAGTCAGTTGTTCAGGTGAACAACCTGTTTAGTTGCTTCACGCTGTATACATATAAAGATTCTTCTAATGACCGTACGCAAACGAGATCCATCCGACACTGTTTTGCTAACTAAGAGTGAAGCAGAATTGAAAGAGATGAAAAGATTTAGATAATTTCTGAAAGGGAAAGGTTTAAGTCTCAGCCCGGAGAGGTTTTTGAATGAAAGGTAGTGTTTAAAAAAGGGAGAGGGACAGCGAAGAGAAGAGAATGGAAATGGGAAGAAAAAAGTTCAAGAAATTAGATATTTGAAGTACATATTGTAGAAGGAATCGGGGAGGCGGAGAAACACAGAGGAGAGGATGCGAAGAGCAACAATAGCAATGAAAAAAACAAGGAGTATAGGAAAAAGAATATTTAAAGAGATGATTATCTTTAGAGAATGAAAATGTTTGACTCACTGATGGAGTCTGTAATGCTATATGAAGTAGAAGTTTGGAGTTGACAAGAGAAAAGAAGACTAGACGAAATAAAAAGAAAATACACGAGATGAATATTGAATCTGGATAGAAATGTACCAAACTACATTCTACCAGAAGAAACAAAGATAAAAAAGCTAAAAAAAACAGATAAAATATGAAGAACAATAAAATATAAAGAAAAGGTGTTCAACTTAAAAAAGAAATTAACAAAAAATGCATAAAAGATTTGGAGAGAAATCGTCCACAAGGTATGAAGAAAGGGGATAGGAAAAGAAAAAGAAAAAGCTATTGAAAAGTGTTTTCAAGAACAATTATTAAGTAAAGAATTTTTAAACAATTATTAAATTCTTATAATTATTCTTGTCAGATAATAATGAGTTATTTAGAGTTCTTTACGATTTTTTAAACTTTGCACTGACTAGATATAAAGATAACCTCAAATGTGTGCATTTCATATATATTTAAATATATAAACTTAAATATTAATTTAATATTTCGACAGATCCAGAAATCGTACGTTCTTTGAAAGTTCCTCCAGTTCGAGATGAGTTCGAGAGAGAGAGAGAGAGAGAGAGAGAGAGAGAGAGAGAGAGAGAGAGAGAGAGCGCGCGTGCGTGCGTGCGTGCGTGCGTGCGTGCGTGTGTGAGTGTGTGAGTGTGTGAGTGTGTGCCCTTTCGATTTTTTTTTGAAAATACTGAGGTTATGTGCAAAGATACAAATAACTTTCTTATTGCTTTACTGCTTTTCTGTTCCAAAATCCAGTACCAGCAGTAAAAACTTAAATTTTGAAACGATAAAAATCAGTCATTTCAATAACAACAGCGCCAGTAATGCCAACTAATTTTGGAACATACCCAGAATAGAAGAAGGTGAAGTAACGAAGAATGAAATGACCATAGAGATAGTAGTACTAGAGTACGCATTGTAGGAGTGGGGGTAATTCTATCTAGAAAAGGACGCACTCATTTGGGCCTTTTCGTTCTCTCTCGTTTCGCGCATGCGTATAGCCATATACTCTGAGAGAGGGGATCGAAAGAAAGAACGAGTCGAACGAGAAAAGTTTCATCATTACATGACCGGACAAGCCTGATTGAGCCTGATCACTTTGGAATCAAACAAAGAATTGAGTTTGATAAGGTTAAGGGCTCTCGATGAATAATATCAATTGTTAAGAATAATTAGTTCTGCGTATTTCTCAGTTGAATGTACAGCCACGAAACTTCCAGAGGTGACTGTACAACAAGCACTCAAGCTATCTGGTAAGGAAACATGGGGGCGACAGTCTTGAGTCGAGCTCCAAAGCGATAACACGATCCGCGCCTACAAATAAGTTCGCGTCTTTTGCTACTATTATTTCCCTTTTTTTTGTTTGTTAAAAATAAGAAAAACGTTTTTCATTTTTCTTTATGGCGAAACATCGATTCGTTTAATTTTCCTTGCACCTGTTCTCACAACAGAAGAATAAAACCTCAACATCAATAAATATTAATGATAAAAATCTATTATACCTCTATAATTCCAGTCATGCGAGCATATTGGCCAGCACCACCAGATTGTTTCTTATAAAGATAGTCAAATTCACATGGTTTAGTTAAGTCTCACGGAAAGAAACTTTTGGCTTTCCAAGAATGACCGGACAAGCCTGATCTCTTTGGAATCAAACAAAGAATTGACTTTGATAAGGTTAAGGGTTTCCCAGTGCCAAGGGTTGCTCTTTCAATTCCTTATTCTTTCTTTCAATCCCCTCTCTCAGAGTATACGGCTATACGCATGCGCGAAACGAGAGAGAACGAAACGGTTCCAAATGAGTGCATCCTTTTTTAGATAGAATTACTCCCACTCCTCAAATTTCCGATAATGCGTACTCTAGTACTACTATCTCTATGGAAATGACAATAGCAGAGTTTTTAGGGAGAAGAAGGGAAATGCCTGGAATGGATGAGAAAGATAATAAAACTAGAGGTGCGTTCCGTTTGCGCATGATGCGCATAAAACATATATCCTTGTTTAACATTTGATGGGCAACAAGAATAAACGAAACATTATGCGTGAAACGGAACACACTCTAAGAGAAGACATAGTAAAGAAAAGAAAGTAAGGGAAATAAAAAGAATGAAGTTTTTTTTTAGAACATTCTAAAGATTTTCTCGATTCAATCTCAGCTTTAATCGGTTCTTTATCTGAATATCTAGTTTTTATTTATTTTTTTTTAAAGTTGATTGTTATTCAGAGAGATTTAATTCACATTATTGGATTCAACTGAGTACTGAGATCAAAACTTATAAATATAAAAAATATTTAATTAAGACGCGTATCAAAATTACAACAGTATTAACCCTTTGCGTCACGATGGACGCTCAGCGTCCCACCTTTTATCCGTTGATTTTTTCACCTTTAAAAATCAGTTTCTCATGTTTTTTACGTCGTGATTGATTTTCTACATAGCTGAGGCATTTATTTGTCGAATACAAGACATCATACATATTAACATACTATAGTTCATTAATTATAAACAATAATATACCAAAAAATGGCCATTTTTTGAAAAAGAAATCGTTTGTGAAAAATAATCACATACAATTCGCTTGAAAAATGCTACTCAGGGTTTTTGGGGTCGCTGAATACGAATCTGATATCAGTTTTCAAAAAATTTAAAATGGCGGATCAAATATGGCGGACATGAATATTGAAAATCGACTGAATTAGCTTGAAACGAGTAACTCGGGAGTTTTCGGTGTCGCCGATTGCGAATCTGATGTCAGTTTCTAAAAATTTAAAATGGCGGATCCAATATGGCGGATATGAAAATTGAAAATCTACTGAATTCGCTTGAAAAAAGTTTCTTGGGAGTTCGTGGGGTTGCTGAATACGAAAATGAAAATAGATTTTGGGATTCAAAACGATATTGAATATAAGTGGAAGACGCTTATACATATATGAGTCATGTACCTAACCATTCATAGTCTGATAACCTGTATAAAATGGGAGCCTTTACCTATATCCATCAGTATTTTTATTTACAACCCGGGAAAAAATAGATTATATATAATCATATATAATTACATATAGTTATATATGATTATATATAGTCCATTTTTGCCCGGAAAAAAATTTACCATTTCACTTTTAGTTACTGAATCTTGCACATTTGATCCAGAATCTGCAGTAAAAAAACATCATCACTGAGCCTGCTTCTACTCTCCAAAATAATATCATTTTCAAACGATCACTCAAAGTTTCATTATCACTTGAGCCATGCTTTCGTTTATCCAAAACGGAAAGACAGAGTAAATGTGGCGACAGTCATTTGTTTCATTGCGACCCCGAAAACCCCCGAGTAACTCGTTTCAAGTAAATTTATCCATTTTTTAGAAAGTTGTCGGCCATATTGGATCAGCCATTTTGAATTTTTGAAAACTGACATCAGATTCGTAATTTGCGACCCCGAAAACCCCCGAGTAACTCCATTCAAGAAAATTCATCCATTTTTTAAAAAGTCGTCCGCCATATTGTATCCGCCATTTTGAATTCCTGAAAAATGATATCAGATTCGTAATCAGCGACCCCAAAAACCCCTGAGTAACGAGATTCAAGCGAATTCAGTGAATAGAAAAATGCGTGACTGAAAGGGTTAAGAATTTAAAGAAGTTGTATTAGAGTTATCCCACATATATGTATATGTATTTTATTATGTTATCACATTATATTAGATAGCGTTTATATGTATTTATTTTATGTTTACATTTGTATTACTTTAGGGTATTGTATTTGTTCATAGTACAAAATAATTATAAACGGAAGCTATCCCAAGTTGCAAGGCATATGGATTAAGTTTTAATAAATAAAATAATACTAATGTTTCATTGTAGAATTTTCTTAATAATTATAAGTATTTACCTGATAAATGTATCGAATTTTGTTTGTATCGCCACTTCGTCCTCGTCACAAGGTTTACACGGTGTCTTCATCAATACTTGCACCAAGTTCGTGATTGCATTTCGACGTACCACAACAACAGTCGCTTTACAACATACGGCAACAATAGTTAGGAACATTAGAGTATTAGTGGCAAAATCGTCGATATTATCAACAACAAGAATTATATCCATAAATTGAGTTAACACCAAAAAATATTCCGAGAATATTACAATAAAAGTAAATACGTTGTATAGCAGTTTTGCGCCGTTTGATGACCATTCATTAGGTCGCCATATACCACAAAGGCTATGTATTAAAAAATTTAGAGATAGTATTTGCATATTTGGACCTTTCCTTTTATAAGTAACTTATTGATGAGCACAAAAATATGGTTTCTTTCTGTGTATAAAAAGTCATTTAAACAATTGCGAAATATATATATTTTTTAATTGCTAAATTATTATAAATATCCGCGCGATGAAATATTACACATGTATAACGGTGATAAGAAAAATTAAATTTAATATAGGAGGCAGCATAATATCATATAATTAATTTTCACAAACTATATAAATTATTTAATGCTGAATGTAAACGTGTCTCTGATAAGTTTGATTTACTCAACGCATCGTGTGAAAATGTTATTTTATGTATAATATTATTTCGAATTAAAAATTGAACTCATTTAATTGTAATGCAATGTATTATTTATACAAATACAACTAGAGAGAAAGTATTACAAGCATTTTCCGCGCACCTGTTTCGAAACTTTCTCGTTTCTCGCAATTTTAGCTACCTCTATATATATATATATATATATATATATATATATCTAATACAATAAAATTATCAAATATTTTAAACAAATATTGTATAAAGAGCATTCACTATTATAATGATCAATAATATTCATTTAAATGTAACCGAGCACGTCTTGCGACAGACTATGTATAGTTTTACTTCAACTTCTTAACCGTAGTACCATTAATAACGGTCATTAAAAAATCGACATAAAGTCAATTAGACATTTATTGCAGAGGGTGCACGTTCTTCTCCGCTTCTGGGTGAACAATATAATTATGAAAGTTTTCCTACTTGCAACTATCGAGGGACGTCGTTCTTTATAACCACGCACATTGCAGTTATGTCCCCATCGAATAAAATATTTGTATACCTTCATGTGTCTATCAGAACTGAGTAAAGATCGTATGTCTCGCAATGTCTTACTACATCGTATGAAATAAGAAATAATGTATAATATGGGCATTGTATGCATCAATCCTTTACCTGCTAAACAAAATATAACATTTGTAGCGAAGAAATGAAGTTTTTGTTTGTTTCGCCTATAATTGTCAATATCTTACCTTAAAATAGTCAATAACTTTGGAACGGATGACCTAAAAATAAATAAAATTATAATGCTTTGAAAAGATCTCTACAAGAACTATAACATGTGAAAGGAAAAGTGAGAGGTGTCTCACTTAAAAAATTCTTTTTAAATGACCAGATGATCTTGCGCTGATCTTGGCCATCTAAAATTAAAATAATGAAGTCTGTGACTGGACTTTTCAAATTCTACAAATTTTATTTGAAACATTTTTTTTATAAAACTTATAATTTTCAAAATATTTTGCCGTGATACTTACGCGTGACTATAAATAATAGTGTATTAACGCGTTTGTTGGAGTGAGAAAATATACCATATAGTAAGAACACCGACGAGATACTATCAAAGACATTCAGTTCTGAGTAAAATTCGTGACTATCAATGGGACCCTGGGGACCCAGAAATGATTGAAGAACGATGTTATTATTGACAATTAATAAAAATTTGCGATTGTTAACGCATAATAAATATTTCAATAATATATTATCATGATTTTTTATTATATAAATGTTGTATAAAGAAGCACGCATACTCTTTTAATATTATAATATCTTATACAGGGTGGTTTGATACGAATCAAAAAAGTGGATAATGAAAGTTGTTCGTCTTGAAGGGGGACATCTAATATGATACCAAACTCGACCCTTCACCCCCACCCCCGTGGGGAAAAATCTTAAATAAAAACCCCTATTTTTTATTGCATATTTGGATTCTGTAGAAAAAATTACGTAGATTTGACCTACAATCGAAGTCATTTTCGTTGAAAGATGGTGCTGTAATCGTCAAAAACTAAAACCATCTTGTATTGTAAATTCGAATTCTATGGAGAAATCAAATTGCACCTACCATTTGTACTATTGACTTTTACAGAAGTCGTGTTCATAAAAAAAAATGTATTTTACTGCAAACTAGAAAAAACGTTCATTCTACTTTTAGCATTACCCGGGAACAACGACGTGAACGTAGTAGAATCATTTCCCATGGGGTGCTTTTTTAACGTGAGTCCCTTTGCCTTTCACAAGGATATTCTGAACTGTACAAAGTCTTCAGATTTCACCACGAAGAAGCTGTTCAAAATTACCTCCATTAACTTGGATACACAAGTTTAACCTTTTGTGAAAGCTGTCCACAGTTTGTAGTCCACGTCGTTGTTCCCTGGTAATGCTAAAAGTAGAATGAATGTTTTTTTCTAATTTGCAACAAAATACATTTTTCTCATAACTGATGAACACGACTTCTATAAAAGTGAATAGTACAAACTGATAGGTGCAATTTGATTTCTCCATAGAATTCGAATTTACAATACAAGATGGTTTTAGTTTTTGACGATTACTGCGCCATCTTTCAACGAAAATGACTTCGATCGTAGGTCAAATCAATGTAATTTTTTCTGCAGAATCTAAATATACAATAAAAAATAGGGGTTTTCATTTAAGATATTCATTTTCCCCCTCCCTACCCCATGGAGGTGGGAGTGAAGAGTCGAGTTTGGTATCATTGGATGTCCCCCTTCAAAACGAACAACTTTCATTATCCACTTTTTTTATCCGATGCGTAGTTTTCCAGATATTCAGTACCGAAGCTTCAAATGGACCTTGTACATTGCTGAAAAATTATAATTTTTTTTCTCTACGGTTATCATTTCTATTGATAATTAAATTTGTTTGATAATGTTAAAATCACAATTTTTAATAAAAATTGAATATTATTAAGTTTTAAAGATATCAATATTATTATAAGGGTGTCATTAACCGATTAAATCACCTATTAGGAACAGGTATACATATATAGAGTAGACTGAACTGACAATGAGTCGAAAAGTCTTATACCATTTACAGTTTACGCAATATTTAACGAGATATTAGACCTTAAATATAGCCGAATAAACACGTTTGTTTGGCCTATTACTGCCAAGCGTGTATGCCTCTCAATCGCTCTCCTTGCGCGCGGTCGCGATGCACGGGGATGGCTTGATACGCGCTGTCCGAGTTTAGAAGCTCGCGGCAATGGGCGCTTCTCACTCCTCGCGCGCCAAGCTAACGATGGCGGATATTCGGTAATATATATAGTAGGCCGGACGAACGCGTTTATTCGGCTATCTTTAAGGTCTAATATTTCGTTAAATATTGCGTAAACTACAAAATGGTATAACACTTTCTGACTCAGTTCGGTCTACTTTACCACTGTACTCTTGATACGTGATTTAATCGGTTAATGACATTTTGTATATACAGGGTGTTCCAGAAAGAGTGCAAAAAATTACGTGAACAGGTAGAGCAGATTGAACTGAGTCGAAAAGTCCTCTACCGTTTTGCAATTTTCGCAATAGTCAACGAGATAATATTTGGTAAAAATTACCGAATACGTGCATCCGCCCGTCCTACTACTGCCAACAGTGTATGTATGTACGCCCCATAGTATAGATAGACCGAGCATGAGGCGGGAGACATGGCAGTCACGTGCGAGAAGGAGGGAACATAATTAGATTTTTCGTTCTCTCTCTAACAGAAGAAAGTGGGAGTACGATGCAGCCCCCACTTTCTTCTGTTAGAGAGAGAACGAAAAATCTAATTGTGTTTTCTCCTTCTCGCACGCGCCAGCCATCGATATATATCCTTGTCTGGCATATGGCAATGCTTGGTCTATCTATACTATGTCTATGGTACGCCCACGATAGCTCGTTGGCGTACACTGTTGGCAGTATAGTAGGACGGGCGGGTGCACGTATTCGGTAATTTTTACCAAATATTATCTCGTTGACTATTGCGAAAATTGCAAAACGGTATAGGACTTTTCGACTCAGTTCAATCCGCTCTACCTATTCACGTAATTTTTTGTATTCTTTCTGGGACACCCTGATACATGTCTACGAAACTAAATTATAAAATTAATACCATGTATATTATCAGTTTATTATTCTTTTTCCCAATTTCTTCACCTTTAGATAACCTTTATCAAGGAGATTTCTCCTAGAATATAATGGAGATATCTCCTGATATCAACTGTCCGTGCCAAAATCGTAACAGATTTTTCTCCGTGTGGGTATCAATCATGAAACTTTTTTCCTAAGATAAAAAGTGAAAAGTGAAAATTTTTACCACTGAAGTTAATGGAGAAATTTTTCATTTTTCACTTTTCATCCTAGGAAAAAAGTTTCATGATCGATATCCTGGATAAAGGTATCCGCAATTTATCTGGAAGTGGAGAAATTGGACATTAATCACTTAAATTTTAACAGTTACGTGAATTTCCAAAAACACCGAGCGTTTTTGACAGTATTTCGTCGATAGTAAAAGTATATTGGAGCATGATCGAATTTGCGACGCGATAAACATGTACACACGTACATATGCAAATATCCGCGCGTGCGTGGGATCTAGTTAGCTGCCATGTTGATACTGGATTACGCTGAGAGTATAAAAAATTATATATACTATATTTGTTTTTAACATGTCATAATCTACAGTTAGAAGATTTCATCGGGAGCCGATTTTATATAAAATTTGTATGGAATCCTTTCAAAAATATAATTTAACTACTATAAAACTTAGTTTTTTAAAAGGTTCTTAATATCATTGAATTTGAATATAGCTTGAAAATATTCATTTTTAAAAGGATAGTAATTTGAATAAAGGAGAATCCAAGGTCGGTATTCATTGTCTGTTCTTATTTCAAGACCATCTTAAAAAACGTTAATATACGGCCCTATGATTTGTTCATAACACCTTAAAACGATCTTGAATATAATCTGTATAGAAATTTACGTAGTATTCCGGTCAGTTTTCTCTTATTACTATTAGATTCTGTATAGAATTCTAATAGGATGCCAGTCAGGAAAACTTGTATCCATTGAGATTTACTAGCCAAATTCCTATTATATGAAAAGAATAGTTTTATTAAAATATTTAAGAAATAATTAATCTAGTTTTATTGTTAAAGTAAGTATTACTAATTAGTATCATATTTTAGAACAAAATCGTGAGAAAAAAATTTTTTCTCTAAATTCGAGAATTAACTTCTTGATGCTTCCAAACGGTCACCCCATCTTCAAGTTGTACCACATACTTCGCATGCTTAACTTTGGCAATCGTACAGGAACTGCTGTACTTCAACGATCCACGAATTCTGTATGTTAACATATGTATAATTGTGACATATCTGATTAGTGATGCACGAAGACGAGACAAGACGATATTTTTCAAAATATCGTCTTGTCTCACAAAAATATTGAAAAATTAATTCTTGTCTTGATCTCTTTATCAAGATAAAAAATTAATCTCATCTTGATTTCAATATTCTCGAAAATATTTATTTTTATTACAAATTTTTAAATTTAAAATGTAATGTACTAAAGACGAGACAAACGATATTTATTATTTTTTACTAAGATCATATTTCTGAATCTAAAAGTATAATCCAATCAGTGCTAACAAAACTTCCAACAGTTGCAAAATAAACTTTTTGCTGAACGCAATTAATTGAAAAAAGAAAGGCAGCATAGACGATTGGGCGCATGCATAAGAGTACGTTTCCACTGAGCACGTCACGACGTCACGCGTTAAGTCGTCCATCGTGTCACGACGCGACGCGATAAAGAGAAAAAGAAAAGTTTATAATATTACAATAAAATTGTATTGATTTTATTTTATTGCAATAACACAATATAGTTTAATATAGATTATAATATAGACAATATAGATTATAATATATATAAAATAGTAATACTCCATATATCAGTGAAAACATTTATATTCATTTATATAAGTGTGAATAATAAGCCACTAAACGTAATTAAAATTACGTTTAGTGGCTTATTATTAGTTTTAAATTTGTTGAGCCTTATTACAATTAATATGTAATTAAAATTATTTCTATATTTTCTATTAGATGTTATCTATTAATTTGATATATTTCCAATATATTTATTTATTTGATATTCAATATTTTCGATATTCTTGAGCCGAGAATATTGATCTTGGAAAAGTAATATTGTCTCGTATTGAAATTTATTAAATTAATATTGTCTTGATATCGTCTTGATTTCGAGACAAGACAAGATAAGAATCTTGATGTCTCGAATATTGCGTGCATCACTATATCTGATCAATAGAAATATTAAAAACAGATAGTTTATGTAAAGTTTAAGTATATTTTCTTCATAAACTGTTTAAAAGTAAATCATTGTATTATTACTGATTTCAGAAGTTATGATTTCTACAGATTAAATTGCAGATAATCGTCCACGGTAATTGTTTTGCCGCATCACCTTAGTAAAATGCAATGAAATACCCTTGCCTCGGTTCGCGAGGCAAAGAGCGATGTCTTTTCTCATTCAAATTTATTCGTTTCGAACAAAAGTACGTAGAATGAGTCTACATACATATTTGTACCTAAGGATTTATGTGGATATCTCTTGTTTTTTTTCTGATTTTCTTAGGAGACTGCAGCGCCAAGCGCGGACTTAGGAACTCCCTATTAAAATCCGAATATCAGTTCATGCGCTTTTATTTATATTAAGGATTCTTATGGGTATCTCCTATTTTTTTCCGATCTTCTTGTGCGTCTGCAAGAACTTCTTGTCCGCCAAGTGCGGGCTTAGGATCTCCTAATTGGTATCCGAATTAAATAATCAGACATTTACTATTGTGTGTAAACGCTTGGATTTTTTAACGGAGAAACTAATTAGAAGTTCTTATATTTCTCTAATAATTCATCAAAACTAGATTCTGTGTTAGGAAAACAGAATAGAATCTTTTATAGTGTTTCTTTTTTAGGGAAATCTCATAGGAATCCAATAATAAGGAAAAGTAATCCATAATTAACATCAGTACAGAATTAGTTCAGCTATCTATTTGCATAGACTGATGAGCTCTAATAAATAAAGCGAAAGTAATGCTATTTATTACAATAAGAAGTTTTCTATAAAACTAAGTTTTACTAAAAAATTTTCAAATTCTGTCTAACGCATATAGAATCCGTTTCGAATTTTTTTTAATTTTACATTTGATTAAAAAAAAAACATTATTAGATAAATTATACCATAAGCTGTGAATTTTATAAAAATTGAGCCAGCAGTTATATAATATAAAAGGAAGATGATCCCGAATGAATCTACTGATCCACAAAAGGTTAAATACTGTATTTTCTAAATTGACTTATTCGAATATAGGTACATAGCAAGAATACACGGTACAATGTTATGCTTAATATACCGTATTATATAGTAAATTGGAAAATATCTTTATATTGACTCAATGTACGTACATTGAATATTTACATTATATTTTAAGATCGTTACGAAGAGTAAGGTTGAAATAAACAGAAATTTTTTAATTTTACTAATTTATAGAAGACTACATAATTATTATTTTCTCAAATAAACTTTTTACTATTTATATTTTACTTCTGAAGTATGTTAAATGCCGAGTATGACATTTTTAAGATCTGAAACAAAAATTGATAAAAAATTTTTATATAGATTATTGCGGTTATTAGTACATTTTATTAAAAATTTGTATGTGCTTCATAAATGTGTCACTGTCAATATCATCTTGGGTAAATATTGAGTTTAGGGGAGATCTTCTCCTAATGACCTTAATCTTGATCTTGATATATGTTGTCAAGGTCATGACCCTAAGTGACCTTGAGAAAATTTTAACTGTCGGACCTCACTCGTTAAAAAGTTATAATCAAAAAAGGTTTAAGAAATAATGTCTTATTTCTGCTCTGTACAAGTTAAGGGTCGCATGACTTTTATGATTATACATGAGTTCCGACTTTCCACGCGAAGCAACTCTCACCCCACCTCCCTCTACTTCAAGGGTGCATGACTTCCATAATTGTACTGTTGCACATAGGTTTCAACTTTCCACGCGAAGCTATTCTCATCCAATTTCCCTCATGTTTAAAGGCTGTACGACTTCCATAATTGTACTGTTGCACGTGGGTTTCGACTTTTCACGCGAAGCGACTCTCACGTGGAGTGAGAACGTTTAGTAAAGGAGGAGGTGGACTCCTCCTTTACTAAAAGAGCTCATGACTTCCATGATTGTACTGTTGCACATGTGTTTCGACTTTCTACGCGAAGCGACTCTCACCTCCGCTCCCTGCATTCAGGTTGAATTCATGCTTTTTTCGACATTAAGTTCCATGTATCCATACACAGGTATTACCTAATAATTAAATTTTTTTGCAAAATATTTATTACATTCTATTTTCTTTCTCTATTGTGCAACATGGAAATACAACCATGGAAGTCATGCGCCCCTTTGGCAGGGAGAAAGGTGGGGCGAAAGTCGCTTCGCATGAAAAATCGAAACCCATGTACAACGGTACAATCATTAAAGTCGTATGATCCTTGGATTATATAGTAGAAAAGAAACATTATTAAAAAAAATTTTTCTGTCTATAACTTTTTAATGAGTAAGGTTCGGTTAAAATTCTCAAGGTCACTCAGGGTCATGACCTTGGCAACATATGTCAAGGTCATTGGGGGAGTCTCTCATAAACTTCACATTTACCTCATCATGTACAGATATTTATTTTATTAACAAAAGTATACTTATAATACCATATTATTACTAACATTGGTGCAAGATTGAAGGGAGACGGTTATCAAAAAGCTGCTTGTGAACTTTATAGGAATTGTGCTCCGTATCATGACCATGAGCAACTGTTTCTTTTCGTTAACTGATAATAGTGGCCAATCCATACAATATACAGCGTCTCCTACACTCATACTCTGTTAATAATATAAATAAAATGATTATTTCACAATAATATCAAAGAAATATCTACATTTATTTACATTATTAGCATTATGCGTATAAGGATGATTCTTTCGAAAACCGATATAACATCTCGATCTACATATATTCCTTATCTCCAATATTATTTATACTTGGCAAAAATATTCTTTAAGAAAGTATAACGATCCGCATTCTTTTGTTTTTCCATAAAGCGAACTATTGAGCTGTAGTACTAATTTCGATTTCTCGATATTTTAGAAACATCAATTTTATCGGATTTTTTTACTCTAAAACAAATATTTAAAAAATATGAAAGTAACAGATTTTTATGTAAAATATTCTCCGCTTTTTAATAATAAAAATAGTCTCAATTAATTTAAAGGACCCCGCAAAATCCTTATGGGAAATGGCTTTCGGCTAATTTTTTTAAAATATGTGTAGTTCTCAACACGTAGAACAAAAGTGTCCATGGCCCCAAAGTCCGATCACGGGTAGTTTTCGAGATACAGCTCTTTAAAGTTGGACTTTTCGTATCTTATTGCATTGTAGTGCTGGTGCAGTCGATGTCGATGTACGATGATGCTTATGATTAAAGTGGGCGTACAGATGCTTTCTTGCTTGTGTGTGTGCGTGCGCGCGCGCGTGTGTGTATGTGCGTGCGTGCGTGTGTCAGCAAAGATAAGGACCCACGGTTCGTCACTCCCGCAGTATTTTATGACTCCAAACCCTTTCTCCTGTGTGTGTATGTGTGTGTGTGTGTGTGTGTGTGTGTGCGCGTGCGCGCGCGCGCGTGCGTGTGTTGGTGTTTGCGTGCACATTATTCATGAAACACACACGTACGCGCACGCACGCACGCGCACACACACGCACGCACGCACACACACGCACACACACACACACACACACACACACACACGCACACACATAAGCAAGCAAGCATCTGTATGCCCACTTTAATCATAAGCATCATCGTACATCGACATCGACTGCACCAACATTACGCTGCAATAAGGTACGAAAAGTCCAACTTTGGAAAGCTGTATCTCGAAAACTACCCGTGATCGGACTTTGGAGCCATGGACACTTTTATTCTACGTGTTGAGAACTACAACATATCAAATTTTTAAAAAAATTAGCCGAAAGCCATTTTCCATAAGGATTCTGCGGGGTCCTTTCTTAAAAACAGTGAAAATCATAAATTTTCGAAAAAATGTGATTTGAGTGTTTTGAGTTACGCATGAAACGCATAGACTACATTACTGTTACGCAGGAAATTCTTCAGAAAATTCTCAGTGCTACCAAAGTGCTTTCAATGCGCGCATTAATTAAATCGGAACGATTTTCTATGCAGTCTACAAGCTAGATGTCTTTTCTATATAAGAGATTTATAAACGTCTACACTTCAAATGAAGTGTAAATAAGTTGATTTGTCACTGCTATCAACCCTTAAAGAAAAACAAAAATACTGGTCGTTATATTTTCTTAAAGAACATTTTCGGAGAGTACAATATCGGAGATTATAGGGCGAGATATATTGGTTTTCGAAGGAATTACCCGTAAATATCTGCATATACCTATAGGAACGTAAATACAGGGTGTAACTAAAAAAATGGAGCATACCATGAGATATAGAACAAAAATCCAAGTAGAAAAGTCCTGAATCATTTTTTGATCTGAGCTTTCAATAGCAAAGCGGAGTGGAGCTAACAAATTCACGGTGGGAAAAAGTGCAGAGCTAAAATAAATGATTTGTTTTCGTAATAAATTATCGATTTAGGATGAACTAATTGTTTATTTATTTCATTAAAATTATAATAAGCACTACATTATGCCTACATACGCACTACATACTCCACTACGCCTTGCTACGTCCCTGTTTTCCTTCTATACTCAGGCGCTAATTCGCTAATTTTAACATTGTATAACAACGAACTGAAAACTCAGATCAAAAAATGACTCAAGACTTTTCTACTTGGATTCTTGTCCTGTATTTCATGGGGTGCTCCATATACGTTTTTTAGTTACGACCTGTATATATGGAATTTGTGTGTATATATTCTTCTAAGATATAAATACACACATCTATAGACTAGTTCCAAATCTACCAAGTAAATGACCAGAGTTATTATCTTTTGAAATTTTGTAATAAATTGAGATGTACGACAATTTTCATTATATTACTAATAATAAAATATACATTAGTTTGTAGGGTATTGATAAGTTACCTTAAGAATGACTTCGTTTCCGGACCAGCAATAAATGTAAACTTGTACAAACATGCCAATGGTGTACACAAAAAAAGTTGCAGCACGAGACAATTCTGTAATATTTATTGACAGATAATACACACATGTACATAATATTAGTATGCTTGCAACGAATTGAACGAAGAGCACTTGGTTGAATATAACGTTTACCGTTTTGGCGTATCTATTAATTGCTTCATGTTAGTCTTGCATTGCTGTATGAATAAGGTAATGGTAAATGTGTAGTTGAGGGGACCCTCCTCCAATGACTTTAACCTTGACATATGTTGTCAAGGTCATAACCCTGAGTAACCTCCAACAGCTTTTAGCCGTCGCTCGTCCTTCGTTAAAAAGTTATTAACAATCATAATTTTAAAATAAACGTATTATTTCTGCTATACATGTGTGTTATATTAAGTACTATTCTACACCTTTCCCTGTTCAGAAACGTTAAACTTTCCACGCGAAGTAACTTTCACCCCCCTCTCCCCGCTGCAAAGAGTCCACACATCTTCCATGATTGTACTGTTGCTATGATTGTAGGTACTATTGGGAGAGACCTCTACCGACGGGACACACACACACACACACACACGGGCGGGTGCAAGGGGGTGGCCAAAGGCCGCCCCCCCGCACCCACACCGTCTTATTTGATGTTTCACACACACATATAATTATAGAAGTCGTATGTGTAGATACAGTATAGGCACAATAGTAGATACAGTAGTGTTTCACGTGGGTTTCGACTTTTTACGCGAAACGAGAGCTATCTCACATCACTAAATGGATTGGGCTAGGGTTAGTTAGGTTTAAGTAGACAAGTAAAATAACCGCTCTAAAAGATTGTTGGGTAAAACTTCGGAATTGCTACAGCGAGAGTTCACCCTTTCGGAAGTGCACCCGTCCTCGCTTCGTGTAGAAAGTCGGAAATCGTTAAGTTTACAAACATTATCCATAGAATCTTTTTGTAGAGAGTTTAAAGGGCTTCATTTTTGTTTGAAACTTTTTTTTGTGAAATCAATATTTTCTGAGATATGCATTAAAAGAGCGAAAAAAACCGATTTTTTTAAGCAGTTTTTTCAAAATGATGGCCAAAGTATGATTGACAGCCAAATTTTATTGTCAGATTCGTTTTCAGAAGCTAAAAATACATGGAAAAAATGTATTTGCATTAAAATTGTAAATGCTTTAGTAGCAATTCCAAAGTTTTACCATAACTTTTTAACGAAGGACGAGCGACGGCTAAAACCTGTTGAGGATTACTCAGGGTTATGACCTTGACAACATATGTCAAGGTCAAAGTCATTGGAGGGGAGTCCAATGATGGCGACATTTACTATTTTAAAACTATGATTGTTAATAACTTTTTAACGAAGGACGAGCGACGGCTAAAACCTATTGGAGGTTACTCAGGGTCATGACCTTGACAACATATATCAAGGTCAAAGTTATTGGAGGGGGGTCCCCTCAACTACACATTTACCTTGAAACAGAATTATCATCTAATAAATTAATATCGAGAGTGTTCCATTTTCAAAGTCATACCAGTTAATTTGTCAAATAACGTTGATTATTTACATTATTTTTTTACAATATACAAAAAATTATAATTGTAGGACTTTTATTATTAAATATAAATCGAAAATATTAATGGACAATTTGGAATCATTACGGAAGACAAAGCGCAATATGTTCATTAATTTCTCTTAAAAAGTTTAATTTATTACATTTATTTGAGAAAAAAAATGTCTGAACGTTTCGGCTACGCTTTTAGCCATCATCACCAGATAAATCAAAATGCTGAAGGAACCAAAGTGGTTTTGTATCATAATGTATAGTGTACATACATATAATACAAAGTTAAGTAATGCCTTCATATGTTCATAATTGGCATGTTGTTTTTTAACTTAATGGTGCACGAATCTTCAAGGGAATGCGAATATAATAAATAATATACAAACTTATTTACAACTCACTTAGAATATCATTTTAGGTACAATCTAAATTATTTGCGTCGTTTTTTAAGTCGAGACAATTAGGTTGATACTTTATATCAGGGCTTAGCGTGCAATGCAATCTTTGGCCGATTTTCCGTTTAGTTTCTTCGACTATGCTTTTAGCGTAGCTGATCTGTATTTAAAATGCGCACGAATTGATGAGATAAAGGACGGAAAACTAAGTTGAAAAATGGCCGAAAATTACCTCTGTGAAGTTGGCACCTCATTTTTAAAAAAATGAAATTTTCGACAGAGTTCTGAATGCACCCCGAAGAGTTCTGAAGTTTCTGCCTAAAATAAAAAATAGTTCCGGTGAATTAACACTAAAAATCGAAAATTAAAAATTTGGGGAGCTCTAACTTCACAAAATGCACAACGAAAAATTGCGATATCTTCTAAACTAATCTAAATCATTAGTCATAGCGCTTTAAATGCTAATAACTTTCGTCAGAACTCGTGGGGTGCTACCCAGAACAGTCGACAGAACTCCCGTAACTCTAAAAAATTTTTTCACCACGAGACTTAGAAGTTTTAAGAAAAAATAAACGAAAAATCGCGATAACTTTGAAACCGAAATTCTAACGACCATTTCTAGCACCCAGAGAGTTCAAACGAGTTATTAAGGCTTGAAGCATTAGAACTACCGCGCACCGGTTCAATAGATATGATGATCTCGTACGACAAATAAAAAAAAATTTTTTTTATCGTTACGGCAGTTTCATGGACAGTTCTAGGTAGCACCTCACGAGTTCTGACGAAAGTTCTTAATGCTCAACGCACTAGGACTAACGGTTTCAAAGTTATCGCGATTTTTCGTTTATTTTTTCTTAAAACTCTAAGTCTCGTGGTGAAAAAAGTTTTTAAGTTACGGGAGTTCTGTTGACTGTTCTGGGTAGCACCCCACGAGTTCTGACGAAAGTTCTTAATGCTCAACGCGTTAGGACTAACGGTTTCAGTGATATCGCGATTTTTGTATTAAAAAAAAAATTTTTTTTCTAACGTTACGGCAGTTCTGTTGACAGTTCTGGATAGCACCCCAAGAGTTCTACTAAAAGTTATTGGCATTTAAAGCGCTATGACTAATGGTTTAGAAGATATCGCAATTTTTCGTTGTGCGTTTTGTGAAGTTAGCATCCCAAAATTTTAATTTTCGATTTTTAGTGTTAATTCGTCGGAACTATTTTTTATTTTAGGCAGAAACTTCAGAACTCTGTCGAAAATTTCATTTTTTTAAAAATGAGGTGCCAACTTCACAGACGTCCGAAAATTGCATCGCATGCTGATGTGAGACTTATTTTATATGTGTGTACCTATATTATATTAGGTGTATCGGAAAGTTCCGTTCGTTTTTATGCAAAAAGTATGACTTTATTTAAGAAACAAAAGCTTCGCAAGCTGCCCGAAAGATGGCTAAAAGTCATAGATAACGAGGAGGATTATTTTGATAATTAAGTGTATTTTTGTTTCTAAATAAATAAATATTAAATTTCATTAAAAACGCTTTAAAACTTATTTGTACACTTAATAGATAATTTTTAATTATCTAAGCGTAATACTGGTGATGCACTCTATGACCGGTAATGACAGAAAGAGTGGAAGTATTTTTTCATATGATTTTGATGTTCTAATATTCTAGTTTTCAATTTTCTTCTGGACTAGCCCACATAAGATTACGTAAAAAAAACAACACCCCAATTGTTTATTGACATATAAAGATGTTACTTAACTTAAGTACAAAATGCGTTACGGTATGAAATCATTCATTTTTATTTATCTGCTGATGATGGCTAAAAGCGTAGCCGTAGCGTTCAAAAGATTTTTTCTCTAATAATTATAATAAATTAAATGTTTTTTTTTTTTTAATTTAAATGTCTCGCCATCATAAACATTAAAAATTATCGTTATATTAGATAATAACAATTTTTTAATGTTTAGATACAAAAAATATGAATAGCGTTTACGTGTGCAATCACATCACATGCACGTACAAGATATCAGTGACCTACGACATCAGCGATCATAAGCAACTAGAGCGGAACTGAACTGAATCGAAAAAGTCTTCTACTATTTTGCAATTGCAATAATAGTTAACAAGATATTAATTTTAAAGATAGACGAATAAACGCGTTTATCCAACCTTACTGCCAAGTAAACACACCTTCGTTCGCTCGATACACACCGCAGGCCGTGAGTCTCTAGATATCGAATATACACCTAGCGAGCGAACACTGAGCGAATTACAAACATGAAAGAGAATGTCCGGATGTTCGCATTCGCTGTTCGTTCGTTATTCGTTCCATAGGTGTACCTATACACGGCTAAATGAGTGTTCGGTGAATCGCGCACGAATTGTCTTTGATGTACCGCTTCATAAGGGAACCCAATCGAACGCGAATTGAATGTTCGGTTCTCATTCGCTTTGACATAAATCTGCTGAACGCAACCAACAAATGTTCGCATTCATTGTTCGTTCGGTGTTTGTTCGCTAGGTGTAGAGACCCTCTAACAGAGCCATAAGATGTCCAGTTTTGATTGGTCCTCTAAAAGTGGATAATTTCCACTCATATTTGAATTACTCTAACATTATCATTAATGTTATAGCGTTATATTTCGGCAATAAAAATAAAAATTGTTTTAGAATAAAAATAAATATTTTGATATTATAATATATGCAAAACATTAAAATAATAATAATTAATACATTAAAAATGGCGAATAAGAGTCAAATTACAATTTAAAATCTGAATCTAATAATTTATTCTAATATTCTATATTGCGAAGAATATCACGTAATTTTTGGCGTTTTGTCCCGGCTTCCACTACTGGACTCATCAGTAAGGTATTGTAATGGAAGCCTACCTTAGACGCCGGTGTAAGTTATTAAATCGAGATGTTATATATCGAGATGCGCGTGTCTTAACACTTGCGAGAATTTGCGAATATCGATAGACCTCTGATGGCGGGTCGACGTAATAATATTCTTCGCAATATTTATCCAAGTTAAGAAATAACGTTCTATTAATATAATGTATGTAGTTATATATTAAAATAATATATATGATAAAAAATTCCTTACATTTAATGTTTAATTAATTATAACGATTAATAAAATAAAATTGATAGGAAGGAAATTAAATACATAAAACATAAATTTAAATATTTTCTGTTCATATAACATTAATTACTTAAATTTTTGTATTGTATAACAAAAACTTTTTATATTATATAACATTATATCTCATAAATTAATTAAAAATACATTTTTATATTTTGTATAACATAAATATCGAATATTAATCCACATTCGAAATCTGTTTCTTTATTAAAAGAGAATTTTTTATACTTTAAAAAATCAAACATTTTATTTGATATTCCAGGTTTAAGTTTGAAGTCTTCCAATTTTCTCTCGTGTTCTTAAACTAGTGAACGGCTATCATGAGCGACAAGTAAGAATTCGTGCGTGAGCACTGAATACGTCCAAAGAAATTAGGTTAAGTTTAAAGAAGAAAAAGGATGGATGTATATTTCTTCTCTCTTTGTATATTCCTTTTCTCTCTTAAGATTTTGCCCACTTGCCTTAATCCGGATCTACAATAGAGTTAGATAAATGTCGATTATTCTCCTCGAATTCGTTTGTAATTGAAATGTCTTACAGCTTAAGACTTAAAACACGTATTGCAGATCCGAGGTTATGGCTAGACTCTGTTAGAGGGTCTTTAACTATAGGTCATCCTCGCTCTTTGCGATCCGCGCGCGTCATCTTGACAGTAGTAAACCAGGCGAACAAGTTTATTCGGTTATCTTTAAAAATTAATATCTCGTTAACTATTATTGCAACTGCAAAATGGTAAAAGATTTTTGGATATTTAGTTCAGTCCGCTCTACCTGCTTATGATCGCTGATGTCATAGATCACTGACATCCTGTATAAAGAGGCAATTTCAATATGTATAAAAATTCTTACTTGTAAATGCTGAGGTGATGGTGTATACATTCCGATATCCCTATTTTATCCTTATTTAACGAAGAGACTGCATTTTCTAGACATCTAATTGTTTTTTTAATCACTAATTTGTGAAGACGGCTTTCGAAAATTTCAAGCTGGGCACATGTATGTAAAAACAATCCAAAGATTAAAAAATCCGTACTGACATTTATCATAGTGGCAAGAATTATAGTTACGACTTGATGAATGGATATAATCCAAAATGCTAAAGGTACACTGTAATTAAATGGTAGCCATATTCGATAAGGAAGATAACCTTGCATTATATTTACTACTGATCCTATCGTAATGCCTGTAATAGAAGTCATCGCCAAAAGTATATTTTTTATCAAACACGATCTGTAAATATAGAAACAAAATTGTATTTCGTAAACTTTTGTATATCTATGATCAGGGAATGAAGTAATTCGTTACTTGTAGCAAAGTTACAGTTACAAATTACTCTTTTGATAACTTTACTGGTAACTGCGTTACTTTTTTTTATAGCTGTAACGGTAACATAGTTACATTTTTTAGTAACGGTAACGAATTCTACAATTACTTTCATCGTTACTTGGCACACAATTAGATACGGTTCGATTGAACACAAGCCACTTATATAGTATTTAAGGATCTTGTTTTATCGATAAAGCTTGATTAATTTTCCATGACTCATTATTCTTAATTGCATTTACGGATTTAAAAGTCCTTCTCTACAATTAAAGTATCGACAACAAAATGCAGACTGACAGCTACAATTTAATATAAAAAACGAAAGGAAATTGAAGACTTACAGTTTTGTCATCGGCTTCTGCAGTCGACTCGTCATAATATGTGTTGTATATAAGAGTTTTAGGCCTTGTATGTTTAAAATAAATAGCTATTCTAAAAAAACTTTAAAGAACAATACTATGCTTGTAGAAACAAGGTAAGGACTTTAGAATAAGAAAAGAGTCATAGAAAATTTCGTTTGTATATTACAAGTAAAGTCATAAAACTGAGCAGGAATTGTGTCTAACGATAGGTTCGATTTTGCAAGAGATGTACTTATATTGTCAATATTATGTAATTTGACATAAATTTTCTATTCTCACAATTATTTCTAAAATTTAAATCACACACCGTGTTTACAATTCTTAAAGTGAAGATATAATAGCATATATTGATAATAGATTTTTACTTTAAGGAGATTCGAGCGTTAGTCGAAATCCAATTTAGAGACTTAATTTTTTAATATGATGTAGATAAAACACTATACAAATAATCCCATAATTTGAGCAATATTGACCGTATAGATTTTTTGTAATGTCATTCTGAAATTGACCATTTTAACATAGCGTCTTATGGGAGACAGTCGTTCCGAAGTAAATAATCACCGATTTATACACACTCAGCCAACTTAAGACTTTGAAAAACTAGAATTTAACAGATAAAATATCAACAATTGTGTATAAAACAAGACAATCGGATTTGACCGTATGGATTTAAAGCTTTATTATTACAAAGTTTACCTTTACTTCATTGATCGTATTCGTAGTAACAGATAATAATAACAGACTGCGGCAACGCCGCAGTGCACAGCTGATACGAAGCCAACAAAAACAGCAATGATAATCTTTCTCCATACCATTTTCCTTTTTGTATAATACAAAATCGGTCTTTATACCGATTCTGTATTTCTCCCTTATAATTCACCATGATCGTTATAATCTGTCACTGCCCGTCACGTCGCGATAGATAATACAACGTTGCCAAGTACTCGACTTCTCGAGTCGTTGACAATACATTTGTTAATATTCTATTCACTAATAATTTACTAAGAATACGACACATAAATAATATCCACAATTTATTACACTAATATTGCGTATGATTTTGAATCACTATAATGACAATTTTTTTCAGTTCCATTTTTGAATCCAAATATATAACGCTCAATCTCTCAATAAAAATTTTGATAAAATTAACATAACTCTCTTATAAAAACTCTACATATACATATATGTGAAGCGACTTTCACTTCACCTCTCTCCTCTACTTCAGAGCGACTTTCCACGTAAAACGCCTCACCTTCTTCCCTTCCAAGGGGCGCACGACTTTCCACGCGATGCATGCGAAAAAATGTGAATAAAATATTTTTGTTGAGATTTGATCTTGAAAATGATCTGGTTGGCAATTTTCATAATTGTATTCATAATTAGCATATCAAAATGCAGTAGTTGATTGGTAAATCGACAATAAAATCGAGTGGTTCAGGTTTTCGGAACTTATTCATAACGTTTGGAAAAGTATAATATTTATAAAAGTATAATATTTATAAAAAGTTTTTCTTAATTAAGCAAAATAGAAATATTTATTAATTTTTAAATATGTAGCAATGATAATTTAAAAACATAATATCGACAAAATTTAACACTAATTGTAAGTAAAAGATTTTCTGGCTAAAGTTTCAACATACGTCAATGTTAATTGAATTATTTGTTCTGTATATCAGTACGCTAATTAAATTATTGCGATGATACTTTGTGCGAGTTATAGTACTAAGGTTTTATTGTAAAATCATTCTAATTATACTGTTTTACCTGATAAACATCTCAAATTTTGTTTTTATCGCTACTTCATCCTCATCTCGAGGTTTAAACGGCGTCTCCATCAATATTTTCACCAAGTTAATGATCGCATTCCGACGTATCACAACAATAGTCGCTTTACAACATACAGCAACAATACTCAGGAACATTAGAGTATTAGTAGCAAAATCGTCGATATTATCAACAATAAGAACTATATCCATAAATTGAGTTACTAACAAAAAATATTCCGAGAATATTACCGTAAAGGTAAAGACATTATACAACAGTTTTGCACTATTTGATGACCACTCATTAGGTCGCCACATACCACAAAGATTATATATTAAAAAATTTAGAGAAAGTATTTGCATATTTAGACCTCCCTTTTACCTCCTCCTTTACGAATAATTTATTGATACGCACACAAATGTCTTTTCTCTGTGTAAAATATCTAAAAAAAAATTTACAACACATTGCGAAAAGTTTTTTTTTCTTGAATAGATGTACCAAATTTAATATCCGAATATCCATATGTAAGATATATAAGATATGTAAGATCCGTATTTAAGAAAAAATAAATTTAGTACAGAAAACAATATAATATTTTTTGTAAAATATTCTGGATTTATGTAATTAATGTTCATAAACTGTTTAAATTATTTAATATTGAATGTTAATGTCTCCGATAAGTTTGATTTACTTAACGCATCGTGTTACAATGTTATTTTATGTATAATATTATCTCGGATTAAGATTTGAACGATCTCATGTAACTGTAATACGATATCATTCATATGAATATAATTATAGATGTATAGATATAAGCATTTATTGCGCACCTCTTTCAGAATATCGTTTCTTAAAATTCTAGTTATTGTTACAACAAAATTAACAAATATTGCAGACAAATGTTGCATAAAATTTTTCTCTATTACGATTAATAAACTTCATTTAAATGTAACCGAGCACGTCTTGTGGCAGACTATATGTATAGTCTTACTTCAACTTCTTAACCGTAGTATCATTAATAACAGTCATTAAAAAATCGACATAAAGTCAATTAGACGTTTATTGAAGGGAGTACGTTCTTTTCCGCTTCTGAATAAATAATATAATTATAAAAGTTTTCTTATTTGCAACCATCGATGGATGTCTTACAACCATGCACATTGTAGTTGTGGTCTCATCAAATAAAATATTTGTATATCTTCATCAGAATTGAGTGAAAGATATATCGTATATCTCTAAAAGCCTTATTTTGTTATATGAAATAAGAGATAATGTGCAATGTAGGCATTGTACATTAATCCTTTGAAGAAATCCTTAGAAAATGAAATTTTCTAAATTACTTTGTAAAAAAAGTAATTTATAGAATATTTCGTTTCCTAAAAATTTTTGTAGTCGCTGAATTTGATTCTATCATCAGAATTCTAAAATTTAAATTCAAATATATAATTATATTCTGATTATTGTAAAACTCGGTTTTAGAATATTCTTGATATTAAGTTTGAATATAGCCTGAAAGTATCAACTTTTAAAAGGGTAGTAATTTGCATGATCTATTGTCATATAAGACTCATAATTAGAATTTAAAATTCAGTTTAGAAATAAATTATTATCTATTTGCTTAGATTGATGAGCTTCAAATAAAGCAAAACTAGAAACTTGATGTTACTTCCAAATTTCTTAGAATCAAGATTTATGATAACTTGATAATTTTTACAAAACTCTATTTGCGCGTGGTACCATCTTGAATTTATTAATTCAACTTTTTTTATTTGAATACATTAATTTTGTCCATAGGACAAGTTCCATAAAAATTAAAAGCAAGGAGTTTATAAAATAAAGTAAAGAATGATATAGTTTTGCTGGTTAACTTCTGAAATAAGTCAAAATAGGCACTTAATATTGATTTCTAAATTAATTTTATAGCACTGTGTGCCGTAAACTCGCGCTTACCGCACCCTTTTCCGTGTCGTAAGTGGCACTTTCTGGCACGGCGATAGCGTACGACACCGAAAAGGGTGCGATAACCTCGAATTACGTCACACGTGCTACAAAATAGTATACGATACGCGGATCCTAATGTGGCGCCTCATGCGTATCCGCCCAAAAGGAACGGAGTTTTATGTTGGCAGCTGCGACTATGTAATGTACTCTCTTCTCTTGTAACCGGTCAACCAGTTAAGTTCTCAATAAAGACTATAGTACTCTGGACAACGTATTAGTAGTGATTAACCTACATTGGTGACCCCGACGTGATCTCGTCAGACATAGCACGGTCCAGATCGTCAGAGATATTGGTTTCGGATTTGTCGCGTACCCGCGAGTTACATTAAGCGGGCGCGCGACGAATTCCGTTGTTACAGAGTCAGCCATTACGGCATCATCGCGTCAGCAGAGCTCGATAATTCAGCACGACAGGATAAATTGTAGAGTTGGACTGCGTAACCTAGACGTGGATCTCAGCCCGTGGCAGCGATAACCTCTTTGTGGTTCTAGAACATACGCCGGCAGGACTCATCGCAGCACGCAGAAGAAAATTTGCGTCAAGTTATTTCGCGCATGCGTAGCGTGTAAGTAGGCACATTGTTCATTGTTAGTGTACCGGTAGTTTCGTCAACAATGACCGAAGAAACTGTTCGCATAGAATCCTATCGCGTCCCGAAAATTCCGCCCTTCTGGCGAAATGCCCCTGAGGCATGGTTTATACAAATTGAAGCGTCGTTCCGTGTCGCTAACATTACGGTGGAACGTACTAAAGTCGATTACTTTCTGACAGGGGTCGACCATGAAGTAGTCACGAACATAACCGATTTAGTGGTTATGAATCCTCCCCCCGAGGACCTATACAAACGAATTAAAGAGCGTATCTTATCCGTTTATGCGGTCTCCGCTGAGACTCGGTTACGGCAATTAAAAGGTCAAATAAATAGTGACCAAAAGCCGTCACAATTGTTAAATCACATGAGAAACCTCAGTAACGGCCAATGTAGCGATTCGGTATTGAAATCATTATTCTTAGAACAATTACCGGAAGCGCACAAAGCTATTTTAGTTTCATCAAATGAATCTGATTTGTCGAAGTTAGCGGAAATAGCCGACAAGCTGGCGGACTTAAATAACGCGTCATGCAGTGCAGTCGCAGTACCGTCAGATAAAACAAATCCCCAAGTCGACGCCAGTTCAACGAATATCGAAGAAAAGTTATCAAAATTGACTAAACAGTTAGCGTCTTTAAGCAAGGAAGTAACAAAACTTCGGCGACGTCGCTCCTCGTCCCGCGGCCGATCGCGCGATCTTTCGCCTAAAAAAGGAAAACTAAATCCCCATACCCGCGCGGAGACGGCCGGGTCTAGGGGGGCTTTACAAAGCCGCCTCCATGTAACCGACCGGAAATCTGGTCAGCGTTTCCTTATCGATACGGGCGCAGAAATTTCTCTACTACCAGCTTCCGTTCGCGAAAAACAAAAACCGTCATCGTTTAAGTTATTTGCAGCGAACGATTCCACAATCGATACGTTCGGCGTTCGTCGCATCACGTTAGATTTAGGTCTCCGTCGACCGTTGTCATGGAGATTTCGCATAGCTGCTGTACCAACGATAATAATCGGTGCAGACTTGTTAAAAGCTTATAAACTAGTAGTATACTTACATAAACATCGACTCATAGATAACGTTACGAATCTTCATGTATCGGGTAAAGTACGCAAAATTCCCGAAAGAAGGATCTCAACAGTCAAACTCGACTCCAAGTTTTCGGAGATTTTAGCCGAATTTCCAGAGATAACGGGCGTAAATCAACAAATTTTTCCTACACTGCGAGAAGTCGAGCATCATATAATAACTACAGGCCCGCCAATCGCAGAACGTCCTCGCCGGTTGCCACCGGATAAGTTGAAAGCAGCAAAAGCTGAATTTAAATTTTTAATGCAAGCAGGTATTTGTAGGCCGTCGAATAGCCCTTGGGCTAGTCCTATCCACCTCGTTCTTAAAAAGTCAAACGAGTGGAGAGTTTGCGGTGACTACCGCCGATTAAACGCGATCACTGTTCCTGATAAATACCCGATTCCACATTTACACGATTTCTCGGCTAACCTTCTGGGAAAAAAAATTTTTTCGTCACTTGATCTGCGAAAAGCTTATTATCAAATCCCAATAGCTGAATCAGACGTGCCGAAGACAGCAGTTATTACCCCTTTCGGTCTATTCGAGTTCCTCTCGATGACTTTCGGTCTCCGTAATGCTGCGCAAACTTTTCAAAGATACATTCATAGAGCGTTAAGAGATTTAGATTTCGTTTACGTTTATATAGATAATATCCTCGTTGCATCCTCGTCTGAAGAGGAACACGAAACGCACCTCCGCTTAGTTTTTCAAAAACTTAAGGAATTTGGGCTATTTTTAAACGCCTCCAAATGTACTCTTGGAGTAAAAGAAATAATTTTTTTAGGGTATCTAGTAAATGGTGAAGGCATAAAACCGACACATGAAAAGATAGCAGCCATTAGGGACTTCCCCAAACCTCGCACAGTCGTCCAATTGCGAAGATTCTTGGGAACTCTAAATTTTTACAGGCGTAGCCTCCCCCAGGCAGCACAAACTTTGGCTCCTCTACATAAATATTTAGAAAACTCCCACAAAAACGATAAACGAGAAATTAAATGGTCCCCTGAAGCAGAAGCCGCATTTGCAGCGGCAAAATCGAAGTTAATTAATGCGACTCTACTCACGCATCCATCAACTAAGGCAGAAACTCGTGTGGTCTCAGACGCGTCAGATTTCTTTTTAGGAGCGTCATTGGAACAAAAAATTGGGGGGTTTTGAAAGCCTCTAGCTTTTTTCTCTAAAAAATTATCCTCCGCTCAAAAAAATTATAGCGCTTATGACCGTGAGCTTACCGCGGTATTCGAATCGATCAAATTCTTCCGACACTTTTTAGAGGGTAGAAATTTCAAGATCTTAACAGATCATAAACCATTAACTTTCGCTTTCAAACAACGTTCTGACAAGGCGTCTCCTAGACAGTTACGACAGCTGTCATTTATAGCATAGTTTTCTATAGACATTGAATTTCTTGTCGGATCCGACAACATCGTCGCGGATAGTCTCTCCCGCATAGAAGGCCTTCGCCTCCCGGTAGAATTCGAGTTAGTCGATTTAGCTTCCCGGCAAAAAGAAGACGAAGAACTTAAACATTTATTACTTTCTGACTCATCGTCACTTAAATTAAAAAGATTTATCTGGGGCTCCTCAAATTCCGAGCTCTATTGCGACCTGTCGGCAGAAGCCATCCGTCCTTACATACCAGTTTCTTTGAGAAGACAAGTTTTTAATCTCTTCCACAATCCCGCTCATCCCAGCGCTAAGGTCACTGATCGTATGATCCGACAACGATATATCTGGCCGAATTTGCATCGCGACGTTACTAAGTGGGCAAAAAGTTGCATTGACTGTCAACAATCAAAAATTTCTAGACACGTCATACAGACTCCTGCTCAATTTACGGCTCCCGATGGCCGCTTCGAGCACGTTCACCTTGATATCATTGGACCTCTTCCAGAAAACAATGGTTTCAAATTTTGTTTAACACTAATTGATCGTTTTTCCCGTTAGGCAGAAGCGATCCCGATAGCTGATACCTCAGCAAGAACTATCGCGAAAGCATTCTACGACAACTGGATCACACGCTTTGGTGCCCCTGGGACAATCACTACAGATCAAGGGACTCAATTCGAGTCTCAGCTTTTCTCGGCCCTTCTTTCCTTCATCGGCTGCAAGCGCATCCGCACGACGGCGTACCACCCAGCCTCCAACGGGATGATAGAGCGCTGGCACCGTTCTCTTAAAGCAGCAATTATGTGTCACAACACTAAAAATTGGACAGATATCCTCCCAACAGTACTGCTCGGATTAAGGACTCACTAAGTTAGATTAGATACTAATGCTTCTCCAGCCGAATTCGTGTATGGCACGACCCTTAGGGTACCAGGAGAGTTTTTCCTTCAAGGAGATTTCAGACCAGACCCCCAAATTTTTATTAACGATTTTCGCCAAGGTATGCAACAAGTTAGGCCAGTTCCAGTAGCCCACAAGTGCAAGAAAAAAACGTTCGTTTTTAAAGAACTCGCTAACTGCTCACACGTTTTCTTACGCAAAGATTCAGTAAAAAGACCCCTAGAACGTCCTTATAGTGGCCCGTTCAAAATTGTGGAAAGGATCTCAGATAAAGTTTATTCTATCGAGTTAAATGGTAGGACAGTTAGCGTCGCAGTAGAACGTCTGAAACCTGCACATTTTCTGTCAGAAGACACAGACAATCAACCTCAAAAAACTACCCTCATGACACCCACACAACCTAGTCAGACCCCGTCACCAGATTTAACAGTAGAAAAACCCATTAGAACTTATCCGAGTGGCAAAGGATGGGTACGTTTCAATTTAACTAAAAATAAGTAACAATATTACATATCATCTAGCGTTAGTTTTAAGTATAATTTTAAAATTAATATTAGTGTTCCTACTTTGTATGTTCTTACATAATTTAAGTTAGTATCGTTAACTCTAGAAGGGGAGTATGTGGCGCCTCATGCGTATCCGCCCAAAAGGAACGGAGTTTTATGTTGGCAGCGGCGACTATGTAATGTACTCTCTTCTCTTGTAACCGGTCAACCAGTTAAGTTCTCAATAAAGACTCTGGAATAGTACTCTGGACAACGTATTAGTAGTGATTAACCTACACTAAGTGACATTTTCAGGCACGGCGATAGCGCCCTCGCTACGCTCGGGCGCTAACTTCGCCGTGCCAGAAAGTGCCACTTACGATCCTTGTATCGTAATGTACTACTTTGTATGTTCTTACATAATTTAAGTTAGTATCGTTAACTCTAGAAGGGGAGTATGTGGCGCCTCATGCGTATCCGCCCAAAAGGAACGGAGTTTTATGTTGGCAGCGGCGACTATGTAATGTACTCTCTTCTCTTGTAACCGGTCAACCAGTTAAGTTCTCAATAACTTTGTATATAGTAAACTTTGATAATAAGTGCACTGTGACACTCGATCTTCCTTTATGGAGGTTATTACTCTTTTGAAATTCGATGAAAACATTGAATTTTAAAAATAAAAAATAACAGATTTCTTTATTAATTTTACCTCAGTATAGTAACCAACGTTGAAGGTAGAAATAAATTAAAAAACCTGTAATTTTTTTTCACCTTTGGATACAAAATACATGCAAGGATAAGTCCTTAGGACGTAAGATTAACATGTATATTTTAATCGTAAAAAAAAAACTTTTATTCTGTCCTACGAAAAAATTGGACAGGGACGAAAACGTCAAAACCGTTAGCTTTATTGGTAATACAGACGGTCCCAACATTTGTTTGCTAGTGTAGACAACTCGAGACCTCGGTTCAAGTCCCGACATCGATGGAGCGCCTGACATTTTTTCTCGGCCTAGCTCTTACATGCAGAAGTACTTTACCGAGTTCGTTTGTGATAAGATTTCGTTGCAAATTGAGACTGGAGGGCAACTTTTTTCATTTAAGGTGAAAGTTATGTTGTTAGATTTTTGGATACTGATCTGGATTCTCCTGCAACCACTGTTGTAACTTTGTCAAGCGTATCTGTAGGTCCCTAGATTTCGTCGAATCTCGGTTGCTATATATATAGTATATCGTGGTGTTGCAGTTGTCAGTAAATGTTACAGTGATCACTCCTTTTATCATTAGTATGTCTGACGTGAAGATTACGTATAGCATAGGGCCCAAGATTGAGCCTTGTAGAACGCCAGCTTTTATTGTATAGAAATTTGAGTATTTTTCTCTTTTCTTAACTCTAATATTCTCTCTATGAGATATGATTACTTATTTCCTAAATTAACTAGGTATATCGAGTATAACAAGTTTATAGAATAATTATGTATTAATAACAGTTTATAGCATATAATTATATATTAACCTTATGCGCCATATGTCACATGTATGGCATAGATTGAGAAATTATTCTATTTTGATTGTATTAATAACGTCAAAGTCAAAATTATTGTATAATGCTACTCGTGCATATTAAACCCAATTATGCATTGTATTGCAATGTACAAAACATACTCGTATATTATGGGAATAGGCTGTGGAAATACGAACGTAAACACTCTTCACTCGTGTACACCGTAAAAGATAAACTTCTTTATTATAATGTGATAGACAATAACACGTAGTGTACAGCGATAAGTCGCGTGGCGGTTAGAGACGCCATAACATGAGAGCGAGTAAAGTAGGGGGAAAAGGTACAACGTTAAATTGAGAGGACTATCTCCCGCGAGTGTCGCGCCACCAAATAACTAGGCAGCAAGTAACAGTATAGCTGAGGGCATCAATTTGATTTCCAACATATATTCATTGCATATGTGCACTTATATGTTGAATTACATGTAACATATATATTTTTTATTTTATACACAGATTTCTATTTTCTAATTTTATTCCTATTTTCTTTCTCATTATAGTTACAATATCTTGTATTAGGAGACGCGGTAGTGTCTCCGACCATGTTCAAAAACTAAAAGACACTACAAGTCTCTTATCCCGAACCACCAAAGTCCATTTTTGGAGGGTGCATAACTACTAAAATATAAAAAATTTTGAATCGAACATTATATGTCCTGAAAGGCGGCATCGCCACAAGTAATTTGAGCTAAAAAAATTTAAAATCGGTCAAGCCGTTCTGGAGATACAAGCGGTTGAAAAGTGATGATTTTTATGAAAAATTAAGAAACATCTCCTTCTCTGTTCGTATGTCCGTATGTCCGTCCGAAATATGTAATTTTTTAACATCCCCTCTCACCTTTCACTCGCACCTCCACCATCTTCGACCCACCGGACCTCCACCACCTCTCCCCACCACCCACCTCCACCACCCCTCTCTTTCGCCGTATTTCGCTCTCTTTCGCTATTTTTTAATATTATTTGTGATATATTTATACTCTAAAAAGTAAGTGATATCCGAAAAAAAATCATATCATAAAAATGAAAAGTTCAAGCCATGTTCAAAAAAAGATACTCAAAAATTTAAACTATTTTATCTAATAATAATATATTAGTATATTACCACGAAAAGTAACTGATATATTATTAATTATATGTGCCAGTTCAAAGTGAACATATATAAAGTGTATGTAACTTTCGGCCGGTTTTTGAATAACCTCCGCCTTCCGCTGTTCTCCCTCACCTCACCGTCTCACGCGCAGTTCAAATATCGCTCTTAGATCTGCGCGCGTGGCGGTAAGGTGAGGGGGACAGCGGAAGGCGGAATTTATATTATATATCCGAACAATACTATTCGAAAATCGACCGAAAGTTAGATCTGCGAGCGGGCGGTGAGGTGAGGGAGAACAGCGGAAGGCGGAGGTTATTCGAAAATCGGCCGAAAGTTACATACACTTTATATATGTTTACTTTGAACTGGCACATATAATTAATAATATATCAGTTACTTTTCGTGGTAATATATTATTATTAGATGAAATAGTTTAAATTTTTGAGTATCTTTTTTTGAAGATGGCTTGAACTTTTCATTTTTATAATAATATAGGAATAATAAGGGCAAAGAACCAGCAATATATTACTGGTTCTTTGCCCTTATTATTCCTATAGTGTTTTATACTTACAGAGCCTTATAATTATATTATTTGTATAATATTAATTTATTTAAAATATTAATATAATATATTGATTAATAATATTGATTTTTACTGGGGAACAATATTTATTTTCACTAATTATTGTGCAATTAGTAGAATAAGGTAGGTCAAAGAAGAACTGCAAGTTTAACAATTACAAACTTTATAACGGTGTCATCTTTACATTGTGTTAAGCTTGCAGGATAAATAAACAGGCAAAAATTTACACTGATTACCAAAATGCTATAACATTATTATTATATACAAGTTCACTTTTTATTATTTATCTCATTTTTGTAATACATTAAATGCTGAGTATGATATTTTTAAGATCTAAAAGAAAAAAGTCAGAAATGTATTAACACAGAAAAGACTGGGTATATTTGTTTACAATAAAGGCGCCTCCAGAGATATGGCCAACGTATGCCAATTTTAGCGAAGTTTTACATAGTATATTAGGTGTACAAAAAAGTTCTGAGCTTTTTTTGTAAAATTCAATCTTTATTCGTATGTAATCGTACGGAAATGGCTTGCTGCGTAACGCCAAGCTGTTCTGCAAGCTCCTTTTCAGTTTGCGCAGAGTTTATATCCAGCAGTGCTTGCAATTCGTCCGTTTCAATCTTTTTAAGGCGTTCAGCACGCGATTCATTTTTAAGACTGAAATCTTCTTGACGAAACTTTTGATACCATCTTTTACATGTAGCATGACTTATAGCGTTCTCTCCATATGCAGCACAAATCATTGCAGTGGCTTCAGCAGCATTTTTCTTCAGATGAAACGCGAAGTGGATGGAAAATCGAATATGCTCTTTTGTTATTGCCATCGTGAACACTACTGATTTTTGAGGTTATGTGCATCAAACGCCAAACCGTATGGCAATTTAGAAGGCCAAATGTTAACGCTTTAAAACCGCAAAAGAGCGGGAAGATATATAAAATTTAAATTGTTATTTCGGTTGTATGAAATCTAAAGCTCAGAACTTTTTTTGTACACCTAATACATAACATACGTAATTATCGATATTGAATGTAGTCAATATTTAGCAAATGTTGACGTGTACATTGGCCAAATCTACAAGCGCTTTAAGAATAATGTGGGGTCTCCAATATAAGAATTGTAGATGATCTTATAGGGTCTTAAGTCGTAGGGTCTTAATTAACCAATCATAGTCGATTATCTTTTTCATATTCGACTGTAATTAGTTAATTTTTTACGACTTATAATCCTACAATCTTTTTATTTTAGACCCCATAATATAAAATAACAATAATACGAACACTGCTATAAGACTGGAGAGATAAGGTTATTAAGAAACTACTAGTAAATTTTATAGGAAGTGTGCTGCGTAACATGATCATTAGTAGTTCTTTTCTTTCGTTGATGGATAGTGAAGGCCAGTTCATACGATATATTGTATCTCCTACGCTCATACTCTATCAACATAAATAAAATATTTACTTCTACATAACAATATTTACTAAATTATTTTATTGAATACACAAAAATATATATGCTACGATACATGTATTTTATGAACATTCTTCTGTACATACAGATAGGTACATATACGGGTGTCTCATTTTAAAACCTCCACGCGGTTATTTCAGAAAGAAGGCGTTTATCGAAAAAATGTTTCAGACAAAAGTTGTTTTACTCAAAGGGGGACATAAGATGGTGTCATCGATTTGATCTTGGATAGTCCTCTGAAGGTTACGTGAAGGTCACCTTTAATTTTTTAAATGGAATTATGTAATTTTTTTTAAATAACGTCATTCCTCTAATTATTTTGCATATAAAAGTGTTAAGGTAGAGATACCAAAAAACCAATAGTTTACGAGATATTTTACATTTTATTTTGGTACATATTGACACAAAATGTTAAATAACTCGTAAACTGTTCACTTTTTGATTATCGTACCTTTATACTTTTGTAAACAGAATAATGAGATAAATCAAATGGTGTAAAGAAAACACATAGTTGCTTTAATAAAAATGTATGCAAAATGGATAATTTTTTAAATACTCAACTATGTGTTTTCTTTACACCATTTGATATATCTCATTATTCTGTTCACAAAAGTATTAAAGTACGATAATCAATTAAACAGTCAACAGTTTACGAGTTATTTAACATTTTGTGTCAATATGTACCAAAATAAAATGTAAAATGTCTTGTAAACTATTGGTTTTTTGGTGTCTCTACCTTAATACATTTATATGCAAAATAATTAGAGGAATCACGATATCTAAAAAAAATTACATAATTCCATTTAAAAAAATAAAGGTGACCTTAACGTAACCTTCAGAGGACTATCCAAGATCAAATCGATGGCACCACCTTATGTCCCCCTTCGAGTCAAACAACTTTTGTCTGAAACATTTTTTCGATAAACGCTTTCTTTCTGAAATAACCGCGTGGAAGTTTTAAAATGGGACACCCGTATATATAGAGTAGCATCGACAGAAGTGGGCCACACTTTGGTTTTCATGCTATAGGATATTTATAATTAATATTTTTTAAACACTAATTGCGTCTATTTGTAGAGAGAGGGATTATGTAAGTTTTGACAAACACATATTTGAAAATTTTTTATTTTAACGTATTGTTTTACATCGTTAAGTAAAAAAAGAAAAATATGCGATTTCACGATTTTGCAGACAGAAGTGGACCACCAATGTTTTTCATCTAAAACAAGTAAAAGGATCAAGCACTATGATTTTTTATGTTAAATAATTAATTTTTCCAAGAAATCGTATTGTAAAAACCAATTTTCATGTGTAATATTGTTTATTATATTGTCTCAATAATACAAAAAAAGTGCAAAAACTAATGATGAAAAAAAATGGGATGAAAAGGCCAGAAAAATTATTCGTTGTCGGTCAAATCTAGATCAGAGTCACAATTTCTGCACGTGAAATAGCTTCGATTTCCCATGTCGACGCACTTCAAATGAAACGGACGCATGTGTTGCATTTGATTGAATTGTTCTTTGTCATTTTGTGTGGCATCAATTTAGTGCAATTTAAACAAAAGTCACGATCTTCTTCTGAGGATGAGGACGAAGGTTTCGAACGTTTCACCTTTTCTGTACGACGTTTTTTCGGAGGAGGGATGTTTGATTTGCGTCGCTTTGCAGCTGCATCTTCTGCTACTTTCCTATTTTCGGGCAATGTTATGATGGCGCTTTGCATTGGTTTTCATCCACGGTTCGATTTTTTCTTCGGTGTAACACGACGAAGTGGACTGACTAAATAAATGAAATAAAGCTAAAAGACATATAAAAAAATACCGTTTTTCCACCGTGTCTTCGTCTTTCTTTGAGGAAATCCAACAATTGTTCATCGGTGGCGAAATCCTCATATACGCTATCAACGCGTTTCAGGTGACGTTGAAAAGTTGATCGCCTCATACCTGCAGCAACACAAGCAGCGCGTTCCGAAATTTTATTGATTTTTACTTGCTTTGTAGCACCAAGCAATTTGTCGTAGTCGATGGGTTCATAGCCAGTCGGTTTATGTTTTCTTGGTGGCATGATCGCCAAAACGTTCAAATTAATTCATCGAACCACTTGATTAGTTTATATACAAACACTAAATGTCGAAACAGAACGTCAATAAAGTGGCCCACTTCTGTCTGCAAAGAATGGCCCACTTCTATCCACAAGCACAACTTGACGCGAAATAACGTGGCGAGAACACCACGCGACAATATGCTCAAATCTCTTTAAATTTTTGAAGGTCAGGTCTAATACTATAATACAGGCTATTTACCCGATTGAATTTAATTAATAACTTATGCAAATCACGATAGCTTTCACAATGAGAAAAAAGGAAAAAGTATATATTTTTGGCACTAATTGCTGGAAAACACAAATGTACGTCTGCACGCTTCAATAACCTACTGAAAACTGAGCTCTTGTTGATAAACAAATAACAAAATATTCGGTTGGCAGATATGTCACTAGCGAAAACAAAAAAGGCGGGTGGCCCACTTCTGACGGTGGCCCACTTCTATCTATGCTACTCTACGTATTTCGTAAAGTTATCTATTATAAGATAGACTCCTAACATGAAATAGCTGAGTTTCTGCTAAAGTAATAACTGTATGTAATTAGTTCCATTATGAACTTAATACTCTCAGAGTAAAATCTATTTAGTGGAAAATTTATTGTTTAATCATGCATGTAATTGTTGCAAAAAAATTGGTAAAACTTCTGTTTATGGGAGGCATCTCCGATGACCTCGACCTTGACATATTTTATCAAGGTCATGAACCCTGCAGAGTGACCTCTGAACAGGTTTTAGCCGTCCCTCGTCCTTCGTTAAAAAGTTATTAACAATCAAAGTTTTAAAAACTATTTCTGCTATTTACCATATTAAATACTATTCTATACATACATTTTGACACTTTCTACACGAACTCCAACCTCCCCCCCTTCCTCCAAACAGCGCACGACTTCTATGATTGTACTGTTGCACGTGGGTTTCGACTTTCCACGCGAAGCGAGAGCTACCTCACATAAAAAAATGGGTACGATTAAGTTTTTTTTTCAGTAGTAGAGCCTACCCGCAGGAGAGGCGGAAACTACTGTATACACTTTACAACATTAAGCGACATGGAAGTGTCAGTCCTTTCGTAGAGTGAGAAATGGGGTGAGAATCGCTTTGCATGAATGCAGTAGAGTACCTATAATAATACAGCCAATAGAGTAACGATCGCTGATTGGTCCGCCAAATTGTGGCAAAAGCGGAAGTTGCGTGTCCATGTGTGCTAGATGTGTGTACCATCCAAAGAAAGAGAATGGACTGCGTATCTAACAATAAGTAGTATCAAAATGTGTCGACGAAAATGAGAGAGAGGGTCCGTGGAAGACGGCCATCTCGATCTTTTTCCATTCGATGGTGTAATGGGAGAAGAATGAGAGGGAGATGGCCGTCTTTCATGATCCCTCTCTCTCATCCCTATCGATCATTTTGACACACGGATCGCGCAGTCCATTCTCTATTTTTTTGGTACCATCTATGTGTATGTATCACTATTTACATTTTGGTAAGAGGTGAGCGGCTCGTTTGCTGGCATTTTATCATCAATCAGCGAGTGACATTTATAATAAATTAAGGAGAAGAAGAAGAGGTAAATGGTAAAAATTACATTGTAATTATATATTCTTTTAATGAAATAAAAACGTGATTTTCTTGTGTAGTTATAACTTAACCTATAGTTGTTTATTGATACATTATAGCTATGAATGCCTGGCTGTGTAGCAGATTATTGCACAAATTCCGCTAAAAAGATATATACAATGTCAGTTTTACACTTTAAAGCGCAGTTGAAAATGCGCGCACTTTTCCGGTTTTGCCTCATTCACACTCTGTCGGTCGTCTTATATAAAGGGACTTAATGCAGTAGGTTCCGTTCCCCCCCTCCCTTGCGGAGGACTCCACTACTAACAAAAAATAACCTAACCTAATCCATTTTTTGATATGAAGTAGCTGCAGCTTTCGCTTCGCGTGAAAAAAGTTCAACTATATAACACGAGAATTCCCTACTTTAAAAATAAAGATATTCGCTATGGTTCGCTGTAAGGAATTCAGCCTCAATGATCTCATTTTGATCTAGACATATATTGTCAAGGTTATAACCCTGAATGATCCTTAACAGATTTTAGCCAAAAGAATTAAAAAATCATAATGTCTCATTATTGCTATAATGAAATTTTTATTCAAGACCATTATTAATAGGATATATATTTTTCATGATTGCAAAGAATGCAGGAAAAGGGAGGTGAGAGTTGCTTTCAGATGAAATGCTAAAAGAAAAATATAGTATTTATTACCTTGATAACATATTTTAAAGCATGGAATTTTCGTGTTATATAGTTGAACTTTTTTTATTGATAACTTTTTAACGAATAACGAGCAATGGCTAAAACTTTTAGGTCACTCAAGGTTATGACCTTAATAACATATATGAAGGTCAAAGTCATTATAGAGATTAAAGGTCATAGAGCCTCACCTAAACAGGAGTTTTACTATTTTATAATAAAAGTATATAAGTTTGATATACTAATTGCAATAAATTCCTAATCTTAAGACTATTATGTTTAATTGAAAATAACAAAGTTATCAATATTATATCAAAAAGTTATACAATACTATATATAATTGAGATTGAGATTTGCTATGTTCGGCGTTCCTACTTTTGTGTTGTATTATAAAAACGCTTATATATAAAAAGCTATTTTTATTTCTCCCCTTGGTTTCCTATTATAAGATATCATATCTTATATATAAAGAAACCTTTATTTCATATTGTAATAAAGTATAGCTAATTTTACCGTTGTAACCGTAATTTTTATTAAGCCGTAATTGTACCGGCTAAAACAATAATATTACTAAATAACTTTTGGCAATTATAAAACTTGAATATATTTCTTACAAGTTTGACATAAAAATAGGAACTAAGGTTATAAATTGAATAAATAACACAAGCCTTTGAAAATATATCTCGTAAGAGACATTTTTACTTTAATGTTTCCCTTATTTTTCAAATATAAATTAATTTTTAACGCGTTAAGTATTAAATTATTTTAGAAATTAAACAAAAAATATAATTATGAAGATACGTATATTCATAATTTTGTATTACTGTAATTTACAAAAAAATTATCTGTTTATTATTTGAGTTATCTGAATTGTAAATACGATACCTTAAGTATGACTTCGTTTCCCGACCAACAATAAACATAGATTTGTACAAACATACAAATAGTATACACTATCAAAGTGGCTGTTTCGGATAGCGTACTATGTGCTGATAGATAATATACACTTGTACATAATACCAATATACTGCCAAAGAATTGGACAAAGAGTACCTGATTGAATATGACATTTACCGTCCTGGCGTATCTGTAATAACACTTAAATAATTTATGTTGCAAATAAAATCATTAAAATAAACTCTTTTACAGTAAACTCTATTACAGTAAACTATTATTATTGTCAATGAAATAAAAAGGCAATTAAGAGTCAATATTATATGTGTGATCTAATAAAACATTTAATATATTATAAATTAAACACCGTAATCACATTAGATGGAATACGAGCTCTAAATCGGTGATAACAGATCACAGATTGCAACAAGGACATGAGTTCGATTGGAATAATGTACAAATCTTAGATGAAGAACCGTGGTATGGGAAACGTATTGTCGCAGAGATGCTCAACATTAAAAAACAGCAAAACAGTCTTAACCTACAAACAGACACATTAGATCTACATGAAGCATATATTCCTATTATAAACAAGATATGACTTTGCATTATCAAAATCTTAAACATTATAGTTTCATACGTCGAGTTAGTTAGACGGTTATAAAAGTTTTATATTTCGGACGACTTGCATTTGCAATGTGTTAACAAAATAATGATTTTGATCGTCACCGAATTTTAATAAATGACTCTTTTAACGACATGGATTACTCGAGGGTGAGTTTTTTGTCAGAGAGACAATTACTTGTCACATTATTTTATTAATATAACGTTAATTTTGTGACCTCATTAGTACCACAGGGATACATCACAAACGATCTTCCAATCGCTTGATGAGCTAAATTGTTCTCTCTGTGGAAATACTCAACGTTTTA